AACTGCATGAACGATTAAATCCAGACACACACTTCAAAGTTTACCTGGCAAACATTCAGGATGTCATTCTCTGCCTAATTTAAGTAATATTTTCTACCTCTATATGCAAAATTTGATGAATTTTATGCATACTGTGTCAACTAAAAGGATGTTCAGAATTCTTGGACATGATAAAGTTTGGGTCTTAGATGGAGGTTTCCCTCAGTGGCAAGCTTCTGGATTCAATATTGGAAGCAGCTGCCCTCATGATGCAGTTCTGAAATCCAAAGCTGCTAATAGTGCTGTTGAAACAACTTACAATGGTGAACTGGTAAGATAACTCTTAAGATGGTATTGCTGTCTTACTGCCAACTCCTTTTTCTTACTCAGTAATCATGGTTTCATGATTTGCAGGCAAATGCTGCCACATTTCAGACAGAGTTTCGACATCAGCTATTGTGGACACTAGAAAAGGTCAGCTCTCTATCTTAACTGAAAACCTAAGTCACTTCATTTTACCTGAAAACTTTCTTGCATCCATATAGATACCTGAAAACCTAAGATCATGAATTGCTTCACATCAGTATTAGTTGGGATTGGTCGTATCTCATGATCTTTCTTTTAACTATCCTGAAAATATTTTACCTTATTTAAAATTGAAAATCATATGAAGATGATGTAACTCAGTGACACACCAGATTCTTGATTATCCACATGTATGTTGAGCCGTTCTGTCTGTGTAACAGGTCAAACACAATGTAGCTGCTAAGGCTCACCAAGTAGTTGATGCCCGAGTAAAGGGCAGGTAACATCTTTCTTTCTTTTTAGTTATTTGCTAACTTAAGCTGTTTTCAGCTGTAAAAATTTTGTGCCATCTTGGCTTTCTCCATCTAAGACAAAACAACACGTGTTTTGGTGCGTGTTTGAGAAAAAAAATGTAGCTGCTCAGGCGCACCAACTAGTTGATGCCCGATCAAAGGGCGGGAAAAATCTCTTAAGTTTCAATATATGATTATTCCGGTTGGAAGATCCGATTATCGAAGCTCTGCTCATAGTTAGTGTAACATTCTTTTAAGTAATAAAGCACCCCTTTTGGAAAAAAGTTAGTGTAACATAGAACTGTCTTGCAATAACGAAGTTAAAAGATTTCCTTAAATATGAAAAGGTTGATATTTGTGTTTCATACAGATATTGTGATTCATCTCTGTTTTATTGAAGGTTTTTGTCTTATGCCTGATGACATTTTTTATTCTTGTCGATCTTCCGCCAAAGTTATATGTAGTTCCTTATTGTTGCGATGAAAACGGCTTCAAATTTTCATTCACAGATTTGATGGTCTGATGCCAGAACCAAGGGAAGGAGTAAGAAGTGGGCATATACCTGGAACTGTATGTGTTCCGTTCCCTGAGGTGGGTATAGTGCAACCATGCAATATATCACTACTTGGATAACCTCATAACCACAAATACAAAAGAAATTGACACTGTTTGGTATTCTCCCAGATGTCTGATGGTGCACAAACGCTCCTCCCCGCAGATGAGCTATCTAAAAAGTTTGAGCAAGCAGGTCTGCATTCTGTTTCATCTAACAGTTCTAGTCTGGAGTTTGCCCATGGCCTTCCGCGATGTATACAATACTAAAAGCAGAACAACATTACAATGCAACTATGCAGATCCTCTGACCTAAGAAGCAGAGTTTTATTAGGGATATAAAATGTGTATCAAGTTCACCAAGCAATATCAATAATAGCACCTGGTTTGATGTTTCTTCAGGCATTTCCCTTGATGGCCCGATTGTCCTCACATGTGCATCTGGTGTAACTGCCTGCATACTTGCCCTGGTCTGGAAATCTAGCATGCTCTTCTTGGCTATATCTTTGAGACATTGACTCCACCTAGCAGTCTCTAACAATATCTCTTTACAGGCGCTCTATAGAATTGGGAAGCATGACGTTCCGGTTTACGATGGATCTTGGACAGAATGGGAAGCTCTGCCAGATGATGATTACCCAATAGTTACTTCCACTGGCTCTTAAAACGATCATTCTGAGGTGATGAATGCAGGTGTTACATCCTGCGGGCATTCAGCACAGATTGTCAGCGCAATGATATTTCTCTGTGGCAAGCTTTGCACCAACGTCAATACAAAGGTTATAGGAAAATAAAATACAGTACCTATTGATGTTATAGGAAAGTGTCGATATTAAGTTTATATTGATGTTGTACTTAACGTTACTATTGAAGAAATCGTGACTTGAAAACAACATTAAGTTTATATTTTATGCAGTAGTGCAGCCAAATGAGTTGTGCACCAGCAAGTGCGGAGCAACTGATCAAAATTTCAACTTGTGCAAATTTCTTTTGTAGCCCGAGGAAATCAAATCGAACATTTCAAAAGGTCCACTCTGTGACCATGAGGATGAAACCATCTCACATTTGCTCACTGGCTGCATTTAAAGGGTCGCTGAAGACAATCCTAAGCTATTCGTAACTACTTTGAAAACGATGTGCTTAGTATACTTGTGTGTTTGTAACAAGTGCTGAGTCTGTGAAGTTTATTATAAAATAACTTCGAGTGGAGTTTTTGTGGAGGTTGAAATTGTGCTTCCTCTGTTAAACAAACATAAACAATTCAAATGCACCACATCATAGTTGAACTATAAGCATAAATAAAGTTCATCCAATCCATCAAACAAAACATAACAATAATTTGTGCCAAAAGGCAGAATAAAGAAGTTCATTAAAAAAAACACCAAGCACATGATGGACCAAAGCCATCATAGTTCACAAGGGTTGCACGCACCATCATCGTCGGCACCACCATCGCCGCCGCCATCACCACCAAACTTAGCCAAGATGTCCCGACGAGTTAAGTCCCAATATTGCCTTGCCTTCTCGTCCATCTTCCTAGCATCCATGAACATAATAGCATGTTTCTCTCCTTGCTCCTCAGCCTCTAATGTAAGGCTTTGCTCCTAAATCCCAAGTTTTTTTCCTTGGCCTCCAATGCAAGCCTTTGCACCTCAAGTTCAAACCTTTTTTCTTCCGTTAACACCTTTCTCCTTCTACTTCTCCTCCTCCATCATCTTCATCTCATAGAAACAAGCCATCTTCTCCTACTTTGGATTGGCCGCTAATGCCCTCTTCACTCCCACTATCACAATCAACTCTTCCTTATATGCTTCAACACCATGCTTCTTGGCTAGCTTTGCATTTTTGGTTCCATCGGGGCGGACTTGAGGAGTTGATGGGTTCTCTACCAAGTCATGATCATCATTAACTTGGGTGTTGAGCCTTCGCCTCTTTTTTTGTTGTTTCATAGTTTCTTCTTGCCCACTTCTCATATACAACAAGCTCCTTATAGCAATGATGCAAAAGTGAAGGCTTTACTGCCGTTTTCTCTTGTTTTATTTCCTTGTAAAGAGCTTGAATTATGGGCTCATACTCGTGCTTGGGGATTCCACTTGACGGCGCAAGGTTGACTTGCTCAACACATCCGGACCACCAGTTGCATTGGTCTTGGATCACTCTCCAACAATGAGTGAGAGACCCGATTGTGCGGTTGGAGGGAACGGACACATTGCTATTCTAGTACTCCTTGATCCTCTCCCAAAACCACGCCTTTGTTTGATCAGCCCCGACCGTGTCATCAAGAGAGATGTTAATCCAAGCTTCACAAAAAGCTTTGTCTTCCTTGTTGTTGTAGTTGCGCGACCGACTCCTCCTTTTCAACGTTTGGGCGTCTGACCCATCCACCATCTCGACATTTCTCATCATCAGATCTGTATATGACATGGACATTGCAATGTCGTCGAGGCCGACTGTGTGGCTCGCGTTCAGTTGTTCCATGAGACCTTTTGTATCACTATTCAATTGCTCGTTACAAAAGCAAAGAAATAACCTAGCAATCAATATCACATCATGCATCATTCAATTGATCAAATGCAAAACAAAAAGAAAGAAAAGAAGAAGAAAAAGAAACTTGCCGGCATTTCCTCGAGCACGTCGACCTCACTCCTTCTCTCATCCGATCCAGCTTCTCTCTAATCACGAGAGGTGGACGGGATGGCAGCGTGGCTTCACGAGGCCAAGGGGCAGGCGTCGATGCCGCCGGAGACCAAGGGGAAGGCGTCGGGGCGGCCAAATCCTTCTTCTTCTTATTCTTTCCGTTGCAGCCATGTTGTTCGCCACCTTGGCCGACGACCGACGGTCCCACCCATTCATCGGCCGGTTGGGCCAGGGCCCTCAGGTGATGGCGGTTGAGCGAGCGGCGACCACCACCTGCAACCGAGAGCTCTCAATGGTGTTCTTGCCTTGGCACCGCCGTTTGGGTCCTTGCGGCGCAAAATTCGTGGTCGACGATGGGTCTCTGGCGCTGGCGAGGGATGGCCAGGGGGGCGTCAGAGGTGGGCTATCTATTCCGGCGGTCATATGATTTTTTTGAAGCATTGATTTTGTTTACTTTTGCCTAGAACATAAAAAATGTTCTTTAAAAAAATGTGTGTGTAGGCAATTCGTCAATGTTTGTTGCTGTAAAAAAATCAGTTTTTTTTTAATAATTTTTCTTCCGATTTTACGGCATATGACTACATGAGGGAGCATTTGATCTCACGAGTAAAAACACATGTTCGTTTCAACCATAGTAGTACTGAAACTTGTCATGTTCGGAGCATGTTGTCTAAAGTGGAGCTGAATCACACTCTCGCTTATGTTTTTTGCCAGTTGTGAAAACTCCTTCATCATTCAGTATAGTTCAAAAAAAAAAAACCACAACCGGTCAACCAGCATCATTAATTTAGAATCCCCTCAAAAATCGTTATTAGTTTGGAATAATAATATATTTTCTCTCGCTGAGGTTTGCCTTGTTGGCTGCGGCTGCGAGCCTGTGCTGCTACACATACGATGGTATTTGCACGATTTCAATACGACACAAAATAGTGGCCATGGATCACATCTCTTCTGTAAGCTGGAGCCATCGATTGGAGGGTCGTACGAAAATCGTACTGTACGAGGATCGATCGTATGCAGAGGAATTTAGAATCCAAATCGGCTCCGGCGGCCATATCTCCATCTCCACCCTTGCTGGAAATCCTCGAGACAACCAAGGCGAGCCCCAATCTTCTTGGCCCCCTGCCGTTAAAGAAAATTTACTTGTTCGCCCCGCGTTCATTGACCTGCAAGCTCCGCTCTCCAATCTCTCTGCTCTTGCAGCAGGCAGCACGGCGGCCAATGGCGCAGGACGATCCGGTTGTTTCTGCGCAATGGCTGCAGCAGCACCTAGGGCAGCCCGATATCAAGGTGAAAGAATCTCTCGTCTGCTCCTCGTTTCCCCCTTTTTTTTTCTGGCAGAAATAGCAATCTCCTTTCTTTGTTAGCAGTCCAACAGTTCAGCAGTCTGTTCTTGATTACTCATATTCCAGTTTATCCCCGTTGTGTGGAGGACACTCTGCCTGATTACCATCAGAAGCAACTGTGACTTAGTTATTTACCAGTGTTATTTCATTCCCTGTCATGCTGTTTTTCTATTGC